AAAAGCGATGATTACACTAACTTTATTGTAAACCATTAAAATAAGAAAGTGACAAAAACTATGATTGAACTTAAGACTGAATCATGTGGTTGAAATTTTGGAAAATGTGATGCAAATGCAATAGTGAATTTGTATCTCTGCTCCTTTTCACTGTATTTTTTGCTTTGAATCATAATCCCAACCTATCCCACATCTCAAATTATTAAAAATGTCTGCTTCATTTGCAAAACCACTGTACCACTGATCTAAAATTATTCTTAGTTTGTTCACTGAATTAAATTGTCATTCTCAGTTAATTAAATTATGAACCTACTAACTAGATCATTTAGATTGAGTTCAAATCTAATCTGACCCCCAGATCCAGAAACAAACATGGAGAAGCAGGATGCAGTTTTTATCCTCTAGTATGGAACAAATTTCCAGGGAACTGCAAAAATGCTGAAACTCTGAGTTCCTTTTATAGCCAAAAGTGCCATTTTGCCTCAGTCCAGCTAAATAAAAATTTGTTTAGAACCACTACTTTTGCCTAATCTTTTAAAAACAGAGTAGCTGTATTTTATTTCGAGTATCCACTATAAGAATTCTTCTGTCAGTTTTGAAGAACCACTGCTTTATTACTATTGTTAGGTTTCTAAAGAAAAATATCAAACGCATAAATAAGAAAAAAAGCAAAAATCGAAGTTTTTGTATGAGATGTCAATATTTGTGGAAAGCTGTGTAAAAATAAAACCACAAGTAAAAAGTAAAGTGGGCATTTCTGTTGAGGAAATCAAATGCATTTATTATATGAAACAAACATGAAACCTGCTAAAACCGTCATTTGTTAAAATTAGTTGACTCTTTATCATTTATCCAAAACTATAAAAAGCCATGGTGAAAGGTCCAGAGAGAAAGAGGTTGCAGACATCTGTCTAAAGCAAGAGTTGCCATTGATAAATAATACCTGTGAAATGATACATTTTAGTCTGTATTTCAGCTTTTTATTTCTTTCCTTTGTTGGGCCACTGCAATGCATTGTGTTTTTGTTTAATGTTTTCATCACGTAAACACTTTGAATTGCCTTGGTGAAATGTGCTGTACAATTAAACTTGTCTTGCCTAGAATAATAGTCACTGCCTGGATAAGAAAATGGAAAAGCATAACAAAAAAGCAAATTTGTCGGCTTCAGAGCAAAGGCTTAAAATTAACTCATCTAAAGGTAGCTAAATATCTAACTAATTTAAATGATTAGGAACATTAGAACAAAAGACATTTATTTTTATTCTCTTTGAGATTTTATTATTTGAATGATTGAAATCAAAGCATTTTATTGTAAAAGAAAAATCATATTTGTGCTGTATAAAACAGACTTGAGGAAGTAAACATAACATTTGCTTCCATATTTAACAAGAACTGTGTCTTCAGAGCAAGATTTGTGACTTAAGCATCATGTGAAAGTCACATGAAGCCATCAACCCCCATTGCTTCGCCTTTTCACCACTAACACTCTATGAGACCAAAATTAAGTCATCTCATTCTTTTTCTGATAATCCTTGGCTACATGAAGTATTTTTTTTTAATTAAACAATACAAACAAACCTTAATGTCAAATTAACAACCTATAAAATATATGCTGAAATTAGCACTTAAGTATGGAGAGTTTATTTTTGATGTTTGCCAGCAATGAGCCATGGGTTGAAAACCATCTTAAAAGACTCCAAGCAATTGCAAAGAAATGTATATGGACATAAGGACCACTCCAAGATATCCAATGTAGCCAAAGGCGCCATTCATCCTCTTGCTTGGATCTGGGAAGAAAGAAATAAACAAAACATTGTTGTACAATAAGATAAGACAAACTAAAAAGTATTTGTTTTAAGAACATGGTGAGTCAACTGCTGTAGATTGACATATCTTTATCAGATGTTCTGATTTTTTTTTAAATGAATAACCTTTTGCCTAGGTGGTATCTTATGTAAATAATTAAACAAAACTAGGTGAGGGGCAACACATTTTGCAAGGTATTGGCTGAATCTCTGTACAGACTAGGTGACGTCTTGTTCCCGTAAAATGAAAAAGGGAGGGGTGTTTGGGGGTAGCGGTCTTACCTCCAGTGTAGTATCCCCATGCATAGAAGAACCTACTGGTCACCCAAATAGCACCCAGCACAGATGCAGTTAACTAGTAAAGCACAGACAATAGAAATCAGAGTCCACATAAGTAATGTAAAATAAATAAATAGATAAATAAGTTCATGAGATATGGAGAAAATACGCCCATCACTGTGACACCATGTCTTTCGCAATCGGGGGAATTGGGGTTAAAGACCATATGTTGATTGGCTGTCGTGTCGTTGTTCTATGTACATGGAAATAAATACACGAATAAATACTGATAAAGTAAATAAAAACTGATAAATACCGGATACACAAAGGCTGCAATTGTTTGGAAAACGAGCCACTGTGGGTACACCTCTAATGTGTTCTGGTGGGCTCTCTGGATGCAGTTGAATATTTGGTCCTTGTCGCTGTACATTGCGGGATACTGTAAAATAAACAAGCAGTTGCATTACAAATGTTTTCAAAGAAGTTGTAGTCGCGTCACAAATACTTTAGAGACTTCTCAATCTCAATCAATTTACCTTCACTTGGTATTTCTTCCTGGCCCCGCCAACCTTTGCTGCCAAATATCCCAGCATAATCCAGCTATACAGGTAAGTTAATATCACATATCCGTAGCAGGATGGCACTTTGTCGAGCATGTTCATCTTGGAGCAGTATAACGTCTGCGTGCAGCTGCCTGAAGACGTAGAACAGGAAGTTAGCTAGTGTTTACTCGGTGGTTAACTCAGCCAAAAGCTGCAGACATAGAAGAGTAGAAGCTGCAACGGGTTCGTTGCGCTGTAGAAACCACACGGTAGCTTGTCCGCCATATTGTGAGTGGCAACTGCTCCTTGAAGACCAAAACCAACATTTGAAAGTAAAACACTAAGTATAACTGTATCACTTTATTATCGTCCCCGTTGAAAAAAAAATCTGAATGTAATATTGTACAATAAAAACTGTATAAACTGATCATGATCTATCTATCTATCTATCTATCTATCTATCTATCTATCTATCTATCTATCTATCTATCTATCATTTTTTATTTTAATTAATGCCAATATAAACTTTAGTCAAACAAATCTATCCTCACAACACGTGACTGTCATTGAACAGCTAATAAAAGGTCACAAGGCACGTATTGATTTTCTTAACTAAAGGTCTTTTATAAAAGTTTTTTTTTTTTTTTACTGAAATATGACAAATTGGAATACACTTATTCAACTTAATGCTACACTCAGATAATATACACTGCTCTACATTTTACTATCCAAGAAAAAACAGTGACACATGTCTAAAAATGTGCCTCCCACTCACACAAATACTTACAAAGACGAAAGAAGTGCATTCCGAGTGTTCATGAGCCATTTACTTTCTCCAAACTGCCAACATTTTTGTTGCCAAGGTTACCGGAGAGAAATACGTCAAAGATAGTTTGTTCTTAAGAGCGCTCGCTCTGTCATATTTCCACAAATATGACAAAGATGTCAAATTTTGATCAAATTACCAAACCAATTTTTTAAAACATGAATTTAGTCGCACAACTTGTTAGCTATTAACTTATTTTACAACTTATTATTAATTATAAATTAATAAGTAAACAAAAAAATAGAGAAATACCTATGCTATTTTCAATAGCATAGGTGTCTTATGTATTCCCAATACATAAGTTATAGCAAGTTATAGATACATAGTTATAGCAAACTTCGAAGTAATACAATTGTACGTAAACATTTCTTTTTAATCTCTAGTACACGTTTTTTTTTTAAATGACCATCACAATATGGCGTTGACACAGGAAATGGCTATACCTGCGTAATCTATTTTTCTACGTCTACTCAAAGTAAACAGGAGATGTTACATAAAATGTCGCGAGATCGACTGTAACGTCTGCGATTAGGGAAAGGACAATGATTACATTTTCTCCAATATAACGTACAAATAGGACAAAGATACATATAAAACATCAAAACATGTATCTTTTCCATGTCATGACAAACATAATGTGTTACATAGCACAGAGCTGGGAGGTTAAACTGTTATTTCTAGCATTAAATTGAAGCATTGACCCTAAATAGTTGATATTTTCATTTTATTTTGCAACATAAAATAAGGGTTATTGAAGGGTTAACAAAGCGATGCTTCTGGAACTGCAGAGAATCTCAGCATTTCTACACTGACCTGCATTTTAAAATGCAACACACTTTTTGCAAAAAAATTATATTTACTTTTTTCATAACTAATATTTAACTGTAAACCGAGTAAATCTATTATAAAATGAGGTTAGTATAGCTCTCAAAGTGAGCTGTACTTTGACCTGCAATAGACGAATGATTTACCATAGAGATTTAGCAGTTAAGAACGTTTAACACAATGACGTTACTTTTGGGGTATCCTAAATAAGGAAAAATGATTGCAAAAAGATGAATTAGTTATAACACATAATTCAAATAATATAGGCATGTTAACCATACGGTTATTGCACAATGGACCATATACTCAACTATTATATACTACGCAGCTAAAAAGGCTGAAATTGTATCTTCACCACTTCTATAAATTTTATTGTTTCCTAAAACCGCATTATGCTTTGCACTTACATAAGCAAAAAAGAAAAAAACGTTCCCTTCCATTTTCCTGAAGGGCGGGTCGTTGAAACTGATTCGATTCTTTTGGATAGTTCAGAAACTGGATTTTCTTTTTAATTCAATCTCAACGTCACAGTCATTTTAAAATAGAAAATAACCAAATTCAAAACATTTCTCAGTGAACAAATGTATGACGACTTGAATTTAGAAAACACTGGGCTTTTCCCGCTAACTTAGAAGACTCTTGATAGTGAACTGGTCAAAAACGTCGAATCGGCCGGGCAGCACACGAATGGAACTTTCCCGAGGCTTCTTAAAAGCAGTTGCAGCTGCAGTTTCATCGTCATTCGAGTAACGACGACTGGAGGATCAACATTAGAGGACAGGTTTTGTTCTTTTTTCAGCATTTGTAAACAAGACAATATATCTGATAGCTTTTTAGCTGTTCTTCTACACTCGCGCCTTGTGAAAACATAGGTTTAAGTGTTTTCTACTTAGTAGCCGTTATTTTCGACGGTTTTATAAGGAGACCAACCAGCTACATTTTAACTGGTAAGACTACAGCAACACGCCTATATTTTCGTTTCTTGGGGGCTTAGTGCTTATGAGCATTGTTTTTTTTATGTTTTGTGTAGCCATTTGCTTTTAAATTAATACATAAGCGTGGTTGTTGAATCACCCAAAGAATTTCTTGTTAGAAGAACTAGGCTAAGCTACTAGCCGAGCTCTATTAGCCTGCGAGTCTGGAAATTTCCAGAACTCTCCGGTCAGCCGTTGGAGTTACGCAACGCTACTGCAGTCTCTAGGGGCAGTATTGTGTAGAATTTAGTTACGTCATCCATATTCAAATGTCTTTGATATTTGTATAATAGACTATTTAAACTTAATGAAATCAAGTTACGTTTGCTTTACATCGATACATATAGTAACTTTTTAATTTCTGTCTCTTCTTTCAGCCTTCGGCAGAAAAACTGAGAGATGGCTACACAGGTTGACTCGCACTCTGATATGGCACAGGCTCGCCAGAGCGACGGGATCAATGTGATCTTCGACCAGAAGAGCCCAGGCTCTTCACACTCCCGATCTCGCTCACGATCCGTTAGCAGCTCTGCCAGCAGCCGTTCCACTGGTTCTGACTACAGAGGGCGTAAAAGCCACCGTGGACGCAGCAGGTCTTCATCCTCCTCATCTTCATCTTCTTGCAGGAGCGGGTCATCCTCTAGCTCCAGGTCCCGTTCCAGGTCCCGATCCTATCCGCGATGCTACCGACATTCTTCCCGCTGTCGATGTGATAACCACCGCAGTTATGGCGGCTACCGCCGGCCCCCACCCAGGCGCTACAGGGCACACTCTCGCTCCTTCAGCCGGTCCCCACCCCGCCGCTATAGGGGACGTTCTCGCTCCTACAGCCGATCCCCACCACGCCACTACAGGGCTCGTTCCCGCTCCTACACACGCTCCCCGGTATCAGACAGATATTCCCGTCATCGCAGAAGCTATAGATCCAGGTCCCGTTCTTGGTCTCCAGCACGCTGGAGTAGGTACAGGAGACCAGCAAGTCAGCTGAGATGCAGATTCTCTCGATCTCCTTCCATGCCCTACAGGGGGCGATCGCGATCCAGGTCATCTGGACGTTCTGTTAGTTTAAGCCTGCGTGGTGAGTAAACTTTTTTTCTTCCTTTTTTTTATTTTTATTTTGCACAGGTGGTGAATAGTATTGATTTAATAGCCGTCTTCTCTATCTTCATTGTTGTCCACAGACAAAAGGGAACTCCTTGAAGTTGCCAAGGCTAATGCTATGCGAATGCTTGGAGTGGAGAAGCTGGACCTTCCTGAAAGTGTGAAGCCTATCCTGTCAGAGCAGCCAGCAGCCAGAAGTTCTTCACCAGAGCCTGTTACAGGGATGAGGCATGGCTCCCAAAAGACTCATTTAGAGGTGAGTGTTTTTGCTAATGATAAAAAAATATACTGTAGAAGAAATTACCTCCTCAGTCACTGAGAAATTCTTTGTAAACTTTTCTTTTTTTGTTGTAGATACAGTACATTGCTGTTGGCTTGGTGAAAGTTGCATAGAAGTAACTATAAATGTTATATATATATATATATAATGTAGGTTCTTTTAGATTTAAGTTTCTTACATTTTTTTTTTCTTGAGAGCACACCAAATGCATTACCTGCTCTTGGTCTAGTTTCTTTTCTTTGTTTTATTTCCTGTCTTTTGTTAACCTGACCCATGAGGGAACACACATGCTCTGTATTTATTCCTGTCTTCATAGATAACATGACAGTGGTCTTCTTCACTCATCGGCACCTGGGATTAAAAGGCTGTCATGTGACATGGGTGACAACAATTTGTTTGCGTTGACATGTTCTCTGACTTTAGATGTTGCAGTATGTTTAATATATGGAATAAGCACATACAGTTAACATAGTAATTCACTCTAGATTACATGCATAAGCTTATTGCACAAACATGTAAATAATTTAGTTAGGTGTTAGTTCTGTGCCATTACAATGTATTTATGCTTTCAGATGAAATGGGTTATTGTTACTTAGCAGAATCTTCCACTCGCTGAAGGAGCACAGGTGTGTGGACTGCATTATAATGACTATTCCAGTCAAGACAACTCTTCTCCATAACCTAAAGATAAGTTGGTACACAAGATGTGTGCTGAGGGGCTGGGGAACTTGCGTCTTGATCACTGTTCCATCACTCTTCCAGTTTAAACAAACTAACTTTTTTTTTTTTTTAATTGCCTTATACAGCTTCAAGGTCTGTCCTTTAGATATAATTTAAGTAATGAAGGGCTGCATGAAAGCTGCAGTTTGAAAGTGCCATATATGAAGTAGAATTGTTTAACTAGACCTTGAAGTCCATCAGCTTGAACTTCAGGTTGAAGCTTCATGCTCACGAGTAACTTGTAATCTGTTTCTCTCCTTGAATTAGGACGAGTCAGAGCCTGGTGTGTCCAGTCCAAGGATGGAAAGCAGGAAAATTGCTTTCAGTGTAAATGTAAGTGACTCAAAAGTGCACACAGTCAAAACAATCTGGAATAAACTGGGTGTTAAAATTTTTTTTCTTTCTTTCTAGAATTCAGTTGCCAAGCCAACAGTGGTGGCTCCATCTCCTGCAAAGGTAACTCCCAGAGTTGACAGCGTTGAAAGCCGGAAGCCCTACGGCCATTGGATTCCCATCAGTGCAGGGCAAAACTCCAGCCCAAACAAACACCGTTAAGCCATTTCTGTGGCTGAGCACATGGACACTGTAAATAATGTACATAGTTTGTGAAATATCAATTTTGTGGTCATTTTCTTTCAGATGTTAGACTTAAATGGGAAGCTGTGAAGAATTCGTTCAGGTGGGATTATTCATTTTCCTCTGTATTGTGTATTTAATAAAGAATTGAATCAAGAATGATGTCTTTTTTTTCTTTGAACATTGACAAAATGGATTTGAGTTGTGACAATGTTGGCAGTGTTACTAAGTAGGAATATCCCTCAATATTTTCTTAAATGTTTGAATAGAAACAGTTGAGTTTGAATAAATGTGTACAGTAGCAGTTCCTATAAATCCCACATGATGGCACTGTTTTCTTTAAAATCATGAGCAATTATTCTGCCTCTTGACAGATTTAGATCCTAATCAGAAGGGATGTGTAATTTAGTTCAAACTGGTTAATGGTTGCCCAATCAATTCAGAATGATGCATCTCTACCTTGTTCCTACAAAATAGATACATTTGCTGATTTGTATTGATCAGGACATCTGTTACATCTTTTCAAATGTGTATAATCAAACTCAGGAGCAGGTGTGCTTGGTGTTGCGGCTGTGGTAGTCTTGACAGCATCTTGGCACAAATGCTAGTAAATTATTGCTGAACTGCAAAGCTGTGTAATAAATCAAGAGAATTATCACTGTAATAAAATTAATTGTACATGGGAATTTCTTACAGCCAGACTTCATCCCCCTGTTCTAACTTGAGCTCAGACAATTGCTTTGATAGAAATCTACCTTGTCTTTTTTTTTTTTCCCCAACTTGTATCAATAATGGAAGTGACATTCTGAAATGTGCCACAGCAAATGTTTCTCTAACAGTATCCCCAGGTATACCAACTTTGGAGTAGAAACTAAAATCATGCATCTTTATGGAATATAAAGAATTTAAAACATTTCAGAAAAATACTAAATGGGTGCATTTAACCTCCCAAAAAGGTCCTGCAGAGGGTGCAATGCCACTTCATTTGCAGATCAGGAATAGGCTTGCATGGGAACCCGTTTGCTCTTCTCAGCCACAGTCACAAGGCTTTCTTGGTCACATCACAGCCCTAGGCAAGTTAGTACTGAGATGAAGGTATGATGGTAGTTAATATTTATTCTTAAGCTTAAAATATTTCAATCAAAAGACCACACACGGCAAACACAAAAGCCAATAAGCAAGCAGGATTACTGTGTAATTAGACATGGTTTATTAAAAAGGGGGGGTACATCTTTTCTAAGGTTTAATACTGTACAAAGTAACAGGAGACAAAATAGTATAAGAGATGCATGTCAGATCAAATCCACCAATCAAAGGACTCAGATTGCTTAAAAGCATAAGCAAAAAAAAAAAAAAAAATCACAGAGGTGACGGGACAGACTAGACGGCTGTTCCTCTCTCCAAGTTCTGTTTGATCTCTGCTGTGTATTTGCCATAGAAGCGCTCTGCCTTCTTGTTGAACTTGGCGTTCCTTTCGTTGATGTAGTCGATGTCTGCATCGTCGTTGTACGCCCTGCGCCGGCTGTATTTGGCACGCTTCTCAATCCTGACAATTGCCAAAAAAAACAAAAAAAAAAAAAACAATCCATGAAGGACTGCATGAACCAGTGTGGCCCCTATCCGTGGCATATCCAATAACAATAATTGTCTGCAAGCAATATTTTTGGGGGCATGCGCTTAAATTTGGTAGGGTGAGTGGGGATGGAAAACCTAACACACACACAAGTAGATGCTCCGAGGAAAATACTGTCAATTTGTGAGCTCCTACTCTTGATTCGCCATGTCTTCAAAGCATTATTGTGCGTCATCCCTGGCAGCTAAGTCCTTGTCTAATGTTCTACAGTTGCATCTCCAACACAAGTCTAGGACTGTCAAATACAGAACAATTTGGGGAAACACTGGCGATGAAATGTTAAGGAGCCCAAACATTAAGACTTGAGGCACACCAGAGTGCAGACACTTTTTAAAATAACTTTATATATATATACACAAACCAAAACTAAAGTATGTATTGAAATGCACATTACAAAATGCTTCACAGAGCAAAATAAGGAAATACATCATTCCTTGCAAGATGTAATGGTAATGCTAGGTGTAAAAAACATCTGCTATTTACACTGACAGGCCTGTCCCAGTTGAATAAGCTCTTACTATATTTTCTCATAAATTTTAAGATTAATTGTTGCTTTGGACCAGGATTTATACCCTGGAGTTGATTTTGTTTCAAATTAGACGGGCTCTGGTCTATCACAGAAGTTGACTTACATCGCTGACACTGTATCACCACACTATGTGGTGTGCCAGTGTGACTCAACTCGCTCTCATTCTGAGATAAATGAAAAACAGGAATTGTTTCAATAGCCTGAGCCAATGTTAAGTACCAAAGTTAAGGTAGATTTCCTACATTTGCTTTTCAAAAGGGGGTTTAAGGCTGGGTAACAGGGTATTAACAAGGATTTAGTGTGTCTTCATACTTTTAGCTTCCTATGCCATTCTTATGCTCCTTTCTAACAAAGAAAGAAGCATGGATCACTTGACCTGAGAAAGCTGCCATGTCAGAATGGCACTGGATTGGAAGCTCAAATTAACTAAAGGTCAAGACATAATAGGGAACTTCTAAGAATTTACAACTATGACTTACTGTTTCTCAACATCCTCCACCATGCGGTCAATGCCGTCCTTTGTGGGAACATGGCTGCCGTAGCTCAGGCTATTGGACGTGGGGTAGAAATCCTCACCGCTGTGAAGCAGCATCAGCAAAAGAATTAGAAATGCATAACCAGAGATAACCAGCATTTTAACACACTCAAACTGACTTTTCTATTCCACCATTGTGATTTTAAGCATCCAAACAAGGAAGATGATGCTGCTTCTGGGCATACGTGACAGTGGACTCCTTTGCTAGGGTGCATGTGGTAGCAGTAAAAGGGCAATAAGCCTCCAGGCACCAAAATCCTCTTGACATTAGCATGCATGTCCTGTGCATCTACACTTTAAAAACATTTTTTTTCTGAATTGTGTAACCATGTCAAAATAAAATCCCTGGGGAAATTGAGGAGTGCATGGCTAAACATCGACTTAATTCTTTATGAACACATGATGGGTGACTTCTGAGTTGGTTGCACCGGGCCAATAGCTACAATTTATCTTTTTTATTTGAGATTTCAGTTATGCCTTCCATCAACCCTAATGATCCTTATTTAGCTTTTTGTCACACAAATTTTTAATTATAGACATAACTGATGTGATAATGTGAGTTAACAAAAGGCTGCTTCAAATGATAACATTATACACTAAATTTGTTGTTTTTTTTCTTGAAAGTCGTTAGTTTTATGCCAGGTCTTTTGGGATACACCTTTCAAATATCTGTATAAATCTTAGGGATCCTTGTGACATTTTTTTGCCAAATGTGAGACAAGCCTGTTTATTGTTTTTGATCAGATAGGTTTCACATTAGAACTCACGCAAGGATGCCATTTCGGATGAATCTCTTTTTATTGTTGAATCATGAACACTGCCAAAACACAATTTTACAAAGTAGTTGGTCTGGTTTTCAGCGCAAATATCTTTGTACACTTGAAATATGACAAAACTACCTTCCAAGTAACCTTTCAGCGAGATATTGGGACTTATTTTAAGTAAATAATTCATTAATATTTATATGAAGGAGTCAGTAATATCCTTAGTTCTGCGCAAGAGGCATAGAGCTAATCTGCTGGTTCCACTGACACTTAAAAGAAAAAAAAACATTAAGCAATGATTTACTTAAAACAAGCTCCTATATCTTGGTGAAAAGTTACACATGCATTAGTTTTGCCTTATTTCAAGTGTACTAAGATAACTGTAATAGAAAGTAGACCAAAGATACTTGGTGAGATTTTGTGTTTTTGCAGTGTACATAATTTAACATCAAAGAAGAATATACTTCATTTGGAGGTCTTTTAGCCTTTGCTGTTGCCACACATGTTCTATTTAACAAATTTCTTAATTTAACTGGTCCGGCTGTAATCAGTCATTGGAGTAAAACTGAACTTGGCATCTCGAAAAATGTTAAATCACATACAAAACTCTATTTTGTACAGCACTGTATTCTTCCACACGTACCTTTCCTCCCTTTGCTTCTCATAGCTTTGCAAATCTGGCCTGATTTGCTTGGTGAGTCTCTGGTACTGTCGGAATTGGGCCTCTGCATAACCTGTAGTCCATTGTGTGTGTGCGTGTGTATTTGTGGGAGATGGCAAGATAAAAAAAAAAAAAAAAAAAAAAAAAGTTATAATTAGTGGAACAAACAGCAAGCAGGCACGAGGCACAGTAACGCAAGCTGCAGCTGGTTAAGCAGGGTCAAAGAGACATATTCCCTCCTCCCATCCTCTCTCCTGAATCCCCTCTGGTGGAGGGAGATTGAGACATTGGAGGACAGCCACATTCAGCAGCAAGTTCTTTTCTCTACAGATTAAATTTGGAGACGCGCTTATATCGATATATGCGCTTATATCGTTGCTTCACAATCTGCCATCATGGAAAACTGGCCATACAAAGAGTCAGCATGTTTCTCACTCACTCACTCACACACACGGAAGCACAGTGGAAGAACAGAACCCCAGCGCTCTGCTTTTGGAATCGGCACACTACATTGCATTACTAATCACTAGACGAAGAGGGTTCGAAAGCGTGAGAACAGGGTTGCCCATGCCCAAAATAAAACTGTTTGATCTAAGCGGCATTCTCTAGAATGTTAATTCCAGATATAGTTAAAACGCTCACAGGAGGATTCCAGAGTGAATGTAATCTGGAACTGACAGCGATTTTAGTGTGTGACACAATGTTTGGTAATAACATTAGCTGTGAAAGATCCTAAACAGAGATCAGATCAGATAGATAAGACTGTCGCCCATAGTTCAAACTAAAGTGAATCCTGTGAATTGATCATTAAATTGAATATGTGGGTGGTGAGCTGCCTATTTAAAAGATAGAATCCTTGTGGTTCCTTCAAGTTATGGGACCTAATCTTATTAAGACGGGATGGAACATGTGCGCAAACACTCCACCCCCCCACCTCCCGAAAAGAAAAAAACAAAAAAAACAACCTATGTATTCTTTCTCATTTAATATTGCTACATTGTGTACAATTTGACAACCCAATGTGGGACAGATTTTACATTATTAACTATAACAAAAGAGGATAGAAAAACAGCATTTAACATTATTTACTAGCCTTTCTACCCAGAGCCATCATCAATTATTATTTTTCTGCAGGAGTAATGTAACGCCATATCTGTTAGAGAGCAGCTGCCTTAGAAATTTGCCATTTTCCATGAGACTATATTATTTTAAACAGCTTTTGTGCCATTTCTTCTTCATTTTTAAACAGGTTAATGGTATTGTAAATAAATGCTTCTTAACTTTGTAACAGGGTCCACAAAGAGGCGCTGTAAGGTGAAAGTGTGGCACGTTCACCAACTGGAGGTTTATTCTGACTGCTGGTCCCCGTTCAACCGATTCTGTCTATTCCTAATATTTGATATTTTCAATCTGTTAAAGCAAATTTATCTTGATAAAACTTGCGTTTTAAAACATATTCATTGTCATAATGATTTACCTCTGAATAAAGCAGAGGGGAAACATGAAACTGGATACCATAAGTTGTGTCTATCTAATACAATCTGACGGGGTTTGTTGTCGGTAGTATGATCCCAGTGAATACTATGCAACTTGGATCCTGTTGTACTGTGACCAGTGAATGCACAAACTTTTTATTAACACCAAAAGAAATTTGTTTAAGTAGTGAAAAGGGTATCTTACTTCATCTTCCAATGGCTGACATGTGATCTGTAATGCAGGTGAAACCAAATAGAACTGAGATGTTTTCTTTCAACGTCTAAGTGAAGCCGTCAAACCTGCGAATCCTGTGTCCGGATTCTTCTTCTTCTTCTTCCTCTCCCATCGCTCTGCCTCATCAGCAGTGATTTCCAGCAGCTTCACTCTGTGATAGTCCTCACCATGAGCCGCACATTCCTTGAAGGTAAATGTTCAGTCAGAGCTGCACAATTTATTAAACCTCAATCTTCTCTGCAATATCAACGTGTGCAATGTCTCAGTCACAAAAGATTGCACTGATAGGTGTCATTGAAAAATATCCCCACTAAAACTCTATGATGCTTGTTAATAATATAATTAATCGACTTGGAGTTTCATTGTCCTTCATTTCCACATCTGGTATAGATCTCTGGTACAGATCTGTCCCTGAGCTCTTAAAGATCAGGGATATTATGATAATGTAAGGGGAAGTGAGCAGTGATCAAAAAACATTGGTTAATTGCAATGTTGTAATGTTTTCTTGCTATCTTGTGGCCTTTTTAAACCAAACCAAGTTAGGCACCAGGCCTGCAAATTGTTAAGAAAACATTAAACATCTATATTTTTCTGCAATGTTGTGGTTAAAATATCAACTGCCATTAGGCCACATTTTCTTCCCTTTTCCCATTGTGATGATAGACGATGGGGTCATCATCTGTTGGAGCAGCGAAACACATTTGACAGATTAAAAGTTATGCTAACCTGTAGTTAGCATGCAAGCTAACCTCAGGTAGCTTAGCACAACAACACGACATTTGTGCCTTGATGTTTCAGCCATGGTTTACTAAGATGTAAATAAGGAGACGACAACAATGGCAGGGTAATTATCATCCGGCTGGGCAAATATATTATTGTCAAGCAGAGTATGAATGCATGGTTCCTGAAATATTACAGCTACCAAACATTGGATTCAATCAGTCCTTTTTGATAGCAATATTCAATGTATTGTATACTAAAGTTTTGAAAATAAAAAGAAAGAGTTTATTACAAATTCTAAGGCCTTTAAACAAGATGCCAAAGAAAGAGAAAGTCCATAGAACAAAGAAATTGAATAAGTATGTTTACTACAATTCAAGTTATTTATTGCCTTTATTTTTAGGTTCTCTACCATTCTGTACGAACTGCTATACAAATGTTACGACGATTAACATTATGACCGTATTAATTATTTCCAATAAAACAGAAAACCAGCAGATATTCCTACTGTTGCTGCAGTAATTGATTATTACTGGTAAAAAGTAGCTGTTTCATGTTATGCACTTTAGTTTAAAAATTTGTGTGAATATCATGATACCATGGCATTTTTGCTCAAGGAATTCAAACCATGAGAATTTGATTCCAGCCTATGCATAACAACGTCAAGAGATGAATCAGCGGAATAAGAGTGATTTCTTGAATACGCATTTTGGAAACTTCTGTTTCTTAGTGAAGCAAGAATTTAAAAAAATGCATCAAAATCAAGAAGTTAAAATTTAGCGACTTTAAAGAATCGTTATTGTGAAATTCTAACTGGTAACCATCTGCTTTATTAAAGGTACAATCAAAAAACTACAAAAACACCTGTAATCACTATGATTGAATTCCTGCAATAAGTGTGGAAAGAATTATTATGACAGAGTATAAAGACATACATACATAAATAAATAAATAAATCCTAATAAGAAAAGCTTCGCAAACTAACAATAAGGAACTCAGGAGTGGGCCAATGTTTTTAACGCAGTACTGTATTACAGACATAGTGGAAAATACCTTTTTCTTTTCATTTTCGGCAAGCTCCCACTCCAACCTGGATTTTTTAGCTTCCCAGTTTGAAGGAAGTTTCAATCTCTTGTCCTCCTCCACTACCTCCTGATGATTCAGTTTACGAGCCTCATTCTGCGATGGAAATAAGATTTATAGGAAGATATTTTGTTGAGGTTCACACAGAGACGCTTAAACGGGTATTTCCATAAGCCATTTGTCATTTACCGAAAATACAGATGAATCTGGCTAAACGAATGCCAGATTCATTTAGCTCTGCGAAATGAATCTGGCAACAACTCACCCGTTTAAAATGCAACTCTCTGAATTTACGTAGTCTTTCTTCTCTCTTATGGGAAGCCGCAGTTTCTGTCGGTTCTTCTTCAGTAGCGGCAACTGGGTCCTTAAAAAAAGAAAAACATCAGGATTTATACAAAAGGCGACGCAAATCATTCGTTTATTGTGATCAGTTTTTTAAATTACGGTCTGACTAGCCGAACACAGCTGACAGATTAAAAGTTGGCGTGCAGGCTAACTACAGTTAGCTTAGCACAACAACACGACATTTTAAACAACAATAATTCATCTAAGCCGATTCACCTCTTATATATACAGTCAACTAACAATATATACCGGTTGTCTTTTAGCTATACAAATATTTCCCCATGTAAATAACACTATAATACGACTACCTTACTACAAGACGCCATTGTTGTTCTTCCGTGAAGAAAAAAAATCGGAAATTCGTCAGTGGTACCGGACGTTACGAAATTAGCACTAGGGAACCTTTGAAGAGAAGTAGCAATAACACAGTTCACTGTTATATTCACAGTTTTATTCTTTTAAGAAATATTTTTTATATATATTATAGAATAATTAAGAAGGCATATTTTGAAACCATTGGTTTATAACAAGCTTAGGTCTAACAGGGACAAAAATAGACTAAATAGGAAAAACTACATAGAAGCTGAAGGTGTCACATAAGTAACTCTAAATCTAATATTAAAACACTGCAATGTTTGCACTAATTAAATTGTTTTTGTTATTGCTGCATTAACTCACACTCCACATTCACAGTACTGTTCATTTCTGTTCAGTTTAATTCAGTTTATTTTTATAGCATCAATTCATGTCATATCAAGACACTAGAAAAGAAAAAAGAAAAACTCAAAAAACAATTCAGTCCAGTCATACATACATTCCTATTGATCCTACTTATCAAGCAATTCAGGCTTGATAATTAGTTTGTTATTCAAAAGAAGTTTTCTGTCTATATTGACAATTGTAGTTAGCCTGTTGTCTCTTTTTACAACAATTAGGAAAGGTGTCATTTCCACATTAAAGTTCTTACTTTTGATGGAAACATAAGATAGAAGTAGCCACCAGGACTTCTTTCTGGTTCATTGGTCTGCACTTCAGTTTCCTGTTGTTTTTGATTGAAGCAAAGGTCAATATGCTACAATGAATCTTCTCTAGCAGTGTGTGCCTATTAGCTTTGAATCACAGGTTACCCTGCAATTATTACACCTCTACACTTGCTAGAAAATAAGTAATATATCAGTTTTCAGACGGCCAAAACAATCATTTGTATTTGACTAAATTGTGCAATATGATCCCATTTTTCATTTCTGCTTTAGAGTTTAGGATTTAGAACCCCCGATAAGTTGAACATTTGTGGACAATTTGTCTAACTTAACACCTGAAGCTCTGAGTTACAGGAAAAAAAGTTGCTATTTTGGGTGAAACAATGAGTTCAGTCACTGAACAATGTTTAAATGTAATATTGGTCCTGATGAGAATATGCTAAATATAATCAAATAGGTCTCATAAATCAAAATAAGACATCTACAACACACATTGTGCAGGTGGCTTTAATCTGCGTGATTAAATATGAGCAGCTGAAGAACAGACTCACATTCAGTATGCACATGGAATATAAAGAAAAAATAAATTGAGGATGTCCTCTATCAACATAGGGACTTTCCGTTACACAATTATTAAAATGTTTTTCTAAACATACAAAAATAAAACCTCAATACAGACCTTTGGTCTGAACTTTATTTATTTATTTAAAACAGACAAATTATTATATAATTAAAACAAATTATCATACCCAATTGGCATGCAATTTTATATTGCCTTTTCGAAAAAAGGAGCAGTTAGAAGATACACGATCTTATGATTTCCTGACCCTTTCATACTCATCACTTAGAAACAATTAAATGTCCAAACACCAGATAAACATTAATTATTTCCACCTTACATGACATTTAAATCTCACATTTTCATCTTTAGGTGTACAATTTATTTAAATACTTTTTATATCATCAATAGCATTTATTGTCTTTGAAACACTCATCTTATACGACATATAACATATTTCCCAATAAGATCATTTTTAAACAGTTTTTTAAGTTGGTTTATATTTGTACTTTTTTGAATTCATCATTCAATCCATTCCGTACATCTAGTCCTTTGATTGGTCCATTCTAACACATTGATATACTGGGAGCTCTGATAAATGATCTCTATACTTGTGGAATGGCGTTTATGTTTTTTTTTTTTGACAAATTAAATCCTACAACTGATGCACAGTTCCTAGTACATTTAATTTCTTCATAACGTGGTAGTCATCACTGTGCTTTAATAATGGAGCTATGTGCATCGATATGTAGAATATGTTTTTTTTTTTAAATGAAATGAAATGAAATTTTATTTTGATTTTAACCATTCCTTTGTAACTCTGGCTGTATGTTTAGGATTGTTATCCTTCTTGAAGTTGAATCTTGTGTCAACTCTTTTGTGGTTTCTTACCCTATATTTAGTTTAATCCATCTTCCCATCAACTATCTCGCTTCCCTGACCCTGTAGAAACCATATTTCTTTGTTAACACAGTTTAATCAGAGTGATTTGAAGTGTTAGTTTTCTACTATATTAAATTATTATTTTTTAAATTTAATGTTGTTCTTGTCTGAATGGAGCACCATCTTCCACATGTTTGCATGTGTCTTCTACGTGACTTCAGGCAAACTGAAAATGCGACAGCTT